GGAGGTTACCTCCCTTCCACCCCACCCTTTCTCCCCCTGTATTCTCTTTCTCTGAGTTTTTCCCAGTCCTTTGCTAGATCCATATATTGCATCTCATTGTCAAACCTCATGCTGCAGCTTGACAAGATGTCCCCTCTCCTTCAGTACACACACACACATACAGCTCTCCCTGCCTGCAGAAATGTGACAGCTGAATCACTGGTCCCAAGCAACTGATGGGCAAAAAGCACTTCCAAGACAAAAGGGTTATACTGATTAGCCCTTGCACCCAAATGGCCTTGGCACATGTTAGCTTGTTGTTCCAGGTGCACTCCCTGGGGAAAGGTGGGCAGCTCTGGGAATGGAGAGTTGGAGGAGATCATGTGTTAGGCTGGCAGGATTATTATTCAGCGTGATGAGTGGACACAGCACCTTATGAACAGGCCCACAGCTTGAAGAGCTTGTAGTGTAGGGCAGGAGCAGGGAAAGTGTTATGGACACACTGTTGGAGGGTTGAAGACTATAAGATGCTACCAAGATGTGGTGTGTGGCAGAGGAGTTGGGCTGATGCTGTCTACTACTAGGTGGGATGAGAATTCTTCAGCTGACACTACAGTGGTCCAGTGAAGGGAGCTGCGGGAGCGTAAGGATCTGTATCTGTTCCTTGCTTCAGCTATGCGTTCTGAGTTAGTACAGCACAGTGCTGACAGTGAAGTCTCAGGGCCTAGGCTTGTAGGCCAGAATGATGGACAGAAGGAGCAGAGTCCTTGAAGAGCTGAAGGGTCCATGAGGTTGCAGGCTGGCACTGATTGGAAGAAGGGTTTAAAAAGGGTGAGAACAGAACTATGTATGATGCAGAGGAGCAGGAGGAGGGAAGGTGTGAGGGAAGATGCTGATGGGAGGAGACCCCTGAGGGCCAGGCTGACATAGTGAAGGGGAAAAAGGAGAAATATAGCACAGGGCAAATTCTCATCCTGAGTGGGGCAGGAAGATGGGCTGTGCCCTACTTTGCTTCCAGTTCCCCTTTGAAGCTGAATTTTGGAACAAGATTGAGCTCAGGGGTAGTGCGTGGCTATGGATGGAGTCTGAAGGTTGTGGACAGCTGGCATAAATGTGCTTCCCAGGTCCTATTGTCTTAGCCTCTAAGCAACAGATTCATAGATTCATAGATGTTAGGGTCGGAAGGGACCTCAATAGATCATCGAGTCCAACCCCCTGCATAAGCAGGAA